TGCTCAGTTGAACACACGACAAACAGCGTGTGAACACAGAAAAGCAAGCAAACAGCTACGCTCACTTTGCCTTGAGCCAAATAGTCGGGTGATACCTCATTGGGTCCAGCAGTCAACTACATACGTGTAACTACCTACTTTGTACTGTAAAACAGCGTGTTACTTCAACTTAGGTGTTCTTGAACGCACCGAGAGCATATCGTCAAAGAGCTCCGGTTCGAAAGGTAAACCCGCCGGCTGTTCCGCGGGCTCGAGCGATTCATGCTCATGCCACAACGGAAACTCAGGAATTGATGCAGTCGAGATGCTCGATCGAAATCTCATTCGGCGCATCTGCATAGTGATATAGCCTTGGCAATTAGTTGGCTTACTGCGTCCATTCATGTCCCTCTCTCCACTGTGAAACACCCTAAACCCCGAGCCCCTAAATACCAGAAAACCCGAATAATCGGAGCCTAGGTTGACATGCCGCCTAAGTTACAAGCACAAATAAACCCTACAGCAAGCCGAATGAAACCTTAATGCCGACCCTTCATGTACAGGACCCAAACTGTTAGCAAACCCAAGCCCCGAAAGGATTAGTTTGCTGTGCTTGTCAAGGTGCAGCGGACCAAGATTCGTCCAGATGCCACCTTCAGGAGCATTTAGTTGTTGTGGGGCTGTTTGGGGTTTCTACATTCGGGGTCCCTTCTAGCAATTTCGGGCCCCGAGAAGAAACCTCTGCTGTAGCGGTTCTATTCTAGAAAAAAATTGTATGACATGTGCAGAAAGAAAGGCACAAGCCACCCTCGTAAAGCGAAGCGCCAAAAACACGACGTTTGCTGGCCCTCTAATCAATCCTCCCTGCAGAAGAGAGCGGACTCTTCGGTTTCTTGCTTGAAGGTGATCAAAGCTCCAGGCGGCTCATACCTTTTGACATGCCCAACATCATACAGGCTACCCATCCTTTGCGTCCTCTTCTCGCAATGGCCAAGCCTTTTCCTAAAGGACATGGCTCGTGCCTGAAAAATAAATAGAACAGGATAACAGCTAGTTATCATCATGCAGGCGAGAAGCACAAGCTCAGTATGCTTGAGGTATGTCACATCGCAAGGCGTTTCCCGGCTGTTTAGTTGTGTTCACAACCCTCCCCCACCTGGTCTCATGATGTGGGCAATGAGGCGGATGTACATGAACACGTTTTTGGCCGTGTCCTCGGTCAACGATCACAGCTGCTTCAGGACGTTGGGGGCTGAGAGTGCACTGTATAGCCGAAAGCCAAATCAAACCGGGTCAGCCAGAGGCTTCGTCTTGGCCGCTTCACTCCAAGAGTCTAGGAGGGCCTTGTGTGTCTTACGCAAATCTGGGGCCGAAACAACCCAAAGGCCTTCTGCCAAGCAGCGAGGAAAAAGCATGTTGCCATGCCATCCCATTCAGCAGCTTGCGTCTTGTACACCTGTTGGCTTTCCACGAGCCCTTTTGGCATCCGGACTTGGGAAGCCCACGAACCCTGCCTAAACCTGCACGGCTTCTCGATTGGCTGCGGGGATGTGGCTGAGGGATTCTTTACAGTGCAAGGATTGTGTCGTGATCCAAAGCACCCATCTTGATTGCTTTGTGCCATGGGGGCCGCATGAGCCGTTGTCATACTTACCTGGTGGGTCGAACGGTTGCAATCTGGAAAGGGTCAGTATAATCGGATCATGTGGATCCTTGTACTGAAAGAGGAACACCGAACATAAGGCACGCCGAATGTCAGGAACCCGCCGTTCCCATTCAGTGCCCCTTACAAGACATGCGAAAAACCGCTATGCACCCTGATAACAGCAGCTGTAACAACTCACAGAAGAAGTGGCCCATCTCGCAGTCTCTTGTGTGGGTTGTTAGGGCTTCTGACAGCATTTCTTACTCAGTCTACCGCAGTGAATGGCAAACGAGCTTTGGGGTGATGTGTTTACGGGGATGTTATCGGGAGCTATCTCGATTTAATGTAGAGCCTTGATAGTGCTTATAGTGATTGCGCGGTTCCCCACCACTAAGCCATCTCCAATCCTGGATCCCAAAACCGAAGCCCTCAGCACAGTGAAGCCTGTAACCCTCAACCCTCAAAGCCAAAAGTTTCAAAGTTGAATCCAAACTGCTAGAAGCCCAATGCCCTAGAGCCCTGAACCGCTGATCCCGCTCCTCCACAAACTCTCCTGCTGCCATTGACAGTTGCGCCGTTGGTGCTAGCGCTTCGCATGGGCAGATGTCCGGCACCTTCCTGGGGGAGCTTTGAGTTCGGGTTACTTCTTAACGATTAATTTCCCGAAACCCCAAGCCCTGTAGCCCTAAATCCTACAAACCCTAAACCAACTATTCTTCAAGCGCTTGCCCAGGGAGATGATTTAACAGCAGGGCATGCTCGGTAGCAGGACCCTTATCAGGGTTCTTGCTAAGGGATTTACTTTAAACTACCATAATCCAGAAACCATAGTATTTACTATAGATCCCATGTATGGTAACTTAAACTTAGATGCCTTAACAAGAACCCAGTTATTGTAGGAAGTGCTTCATGCAAGAATATGGCATCAATCACATCCGAACACGAACTTGAGGATTCAAGCAGTGCTGAAGCTCTGACTCTTGAGCCAAACCCGGCAAGCCCCCACAAAACCCAGCTGGGACAAGCTGCACACATCGCAGATGGTCCCAGCGGCTCTTCCGGTTAGCTAGGGTAAGCCTCAGTCAGGGAAACCTGCCCTTCGGCATTCAGTAACTTGGGGCCGGATGTGAGAATTTGGGTTTACGCTCTCAGGGATTTTCGGTTTAGGGTTTATGGTTTGAGGGTCAAGTTTGCCCAGTTGGCATGATGTCGTCTAGTCTTCTGAACTCCTGGTTGCTGAGATCCCTGGTCAACACACAAACTCAACATTCGAGGACGGTAGTCTTGTTTGTGCCCAAAGCAAGCTAAAGGCTAGCTGCTCCAGCCACTCAGCCTCCCTCGAAGCAATACCTACAGCTTCAGGTCGAACCATTCCATACCGTGTTTAAGTTGCAGGAGCTCCGCAAAACGAGGATCTTGTGGAGTGTTTCGCATACATTATCACATAAGCACGTGTGCACACATGAGCTCAGCAGTATCTAAATTCTATATACATAGATAGGCGCATAAGTGCGCAAGCAGGCGAGCATGCAAACACAGAGACAGACAGACAGACGGACGGACGGACGGACAAACACGCAGACATACGCCCACCCACACACACACACACACACACACACAGGCAGGCTTGCAGGCTTGCAGACCAGTCATCCGTACTTAGATAGATGCTGTTTGTGCCACATTGAGCCACTGGCGCTTAACTCCAAAATGTGGTCAACCGCAGCAATGACTCCGCCAAGGGTCACGAAAGGAAAGATGTTGAAGCATTCGGCCCGATCGCTGCGGTTCAAGATAAGGTGGCTGCCCAAGAGCATGTGATAGGAGAATTCGTTACCTGAGCTATAGTTGTTCTCGGAGTTGAGGTTGTAGTTTCCAGGTTCTCATGGTTTAAAGTCTCAGGGTTTGGGGCGGAAGACGGAGGGTTTGGGGTTTCCGACGGACTGGTACACTCTGACGAACAGAACCAATTGCAAGAAGCTGTGCGAGCTACTGTCAATTTGTGCAGAACGACAGCGGCTTGAACTTTGGGCGAGTGCCGAACAGAAAGGCTGTCTTATTTTCCAGCTAAGAGAGGGAACCAATTTAGATGAGCTGAAGAGATCCTGGCACAACCCACGGACGGGAACAAGCACCCAAGCCCCAAGCCCTACTTACACCTCCGATCCGAAACGAAGTGTTCGCGTGCTATCAGCGACGCCCGAAAGGTGCACGTGAGGATCTGAAAAGTCTAGCGATCCGTTGCGGGGGTCTGCATAATGAGTGTCCTTCTATTTTGGTCCTCTACTAGGGTTCCGCGTTCCCAGACAACATGTGCTGAAGGTCGAATGGGTTCAGGGTGTGCACCGCGTAAGCTTGAACAACTAAACTTCTGCCTCGTATCTTGGAGCTGCGACTCCCAAACTCACATTCCAAGCGGCAGCTCCTTGTCTTCCTCTCAAGCCTGAACACACAATCCCCGACCTTCAACCCCAAATGAAAAAGTCACACGATGCATTCAACAAGGCAAGGTGACCCTGGGCTGCATACCCCAGGCGGACCAAGTCGAAGGGAAGTCGTGCCAGCCTAATCTTCGGGCTTCGTCTAGGGCTTACGCTTTGGGACGTGAATTTACGTCTTTGGATTCTTCTAATTCCATAATTAGTCCAGCCAGGAAGAAGTCTTTTAAGGGCTCTTGCTCCAGAGCCGATTTCATTCGGAACATGTACTCCGGTGCAAGCAAATCACCTCTCCGTTCTGAGTGTGTAGGGCTGATGGCTTGTGAGATTTCTTCAGGCCTCATAAATTGAAGTGTAGAAATTCCAAGACAATGAAGTATAGATCCTCCTCTTCTCCGGCTGCTCGGAACTTAAATGGAGACAAAGCAAGACCCTTTGACCAATAGAACCGTCAGTCTCGAAGGGCTTTCGGATCGATGATGGTACGGCTTGAGGATCCTGATATAGAAGCATGACGCAGACCAAAGCCAAGATGAAGGACCCCGAGCCCCAAGCTTTGCACCGAAAAGACCAAAAGGCCCCGTAAAGTCCGGGTCTCGATGTCTTAAGCATTCAAACTTAGAGAACCGTACGTTGGTTACCAGCATGACCTCGCACCTCCTGGCTCAAGCAGCCACATGTCAAAGCAACAGAGAAAAAGGGGACTACGTAGAATCAGAAAGTAGGTACCGCGAAACCTATCCCTAAACCCCAAAAGACCCTCAGCTCTAAACACGAACAGGCGCCCGCAGCCGGGACAGAGAACAGCCGGCGCATTGGCCTGCCCCTTGGGAGGAAGGTGTCTCCTGAGCTCATGCTGCCAAAGGGACCTCCTCACATACATGCATCTGAAACATGTCCTCGAGCAACCACGTATATATATATATATATGTGTGTGTGAGTGTGTGTGTATATGTATATGTATATGTATATGTATATGTATATGTATATGTAGACATTCATCCATCCATCCATCCATCCATCCATGCATGCATGCATGCATGCATGCATGCATGCATGCATACATACGCACATGCTGGATATGTTCCTCGCCGTTGGGCCATGGGAGCCGTCGTTTTGAAGGTCACGATTTCGTTGTTCAGGCGGGACGGCTGCAGGGAAATCAGCAGAAGCGTTTTCGTTCTCCTGTCAAGGGTGCCTTGTCAAGGACACCTGTTTACCATTCCTTGTAAGGTAATTGAACCATGTATGTCATAATCAGTCGTTGGGCGACCAGGCTTGACTGCAGGTAGGCTGCATGCTGTCCGACTCTCAGTCTTTCTCTCGCTCTCTCCCCTTCTCTCTCTCTTTTTCCGTTACAATACTTCGTGGCCGCCGAACAACCCCAAAGAGACTTTGAAGGGATGTGAAGTGGCCGTAGTGCGGAACTCCGGGCTTCCGGAGGATCTAACTCGGGCAGGGGTGTCGGGCGAGGAAGTCCAAGCCAGTGTTTGGAAGTGAAACACGTAGAGGACCCCAGTGTAGACCATAATGATTAGTAGCATCCTTCCTGCAAGGACCACCAAGAAGGGACCCGGGAATCCTGGATTGGCAAAAAAAGAGCCAGCGAAGTTGACCCTGAGCTTCATGTCAACCTGCCCTAATATCTGGGATAATATGGCTCAAGTATAAGGATAATCTGGTAAAACTTAATAATGTGGACAGTCGTGTACAGTCATAAGGAGGCACGAAACAGGGATAGTATCAGTAAGCTTCTGTAGCACGAGACCTTTACGTCCAGAAGTGGACCGTCAATACTGTGGACCCTTGTATGTAAGCCGCCATGGAAAGCCCCTAGAACACCCTTATAGCAAAAGTCATAGATTCGAATCCATGTAAAAAACCGTATTCGGGGCCTGTAAAAAAAGCCCTTATGGGCAACCCGACCTCCTGGAAGCCCACAGAAAAGGGCGAGAAAAAACATGCCTAGGTACTACAGGGGGCTTTATTATTTAGAAATTGATTTTGCTGCCTATCGTACCTTGTTCATAGGGTTCATAGGGACTATAAGGGATATTGCTACTAATTTCTCCGACCCCGTATCCCGTAAAATGACCGAGACACAGAAGAGCTGAAACCAATGGCCCGTAAGAGGCTTGCCTCTCCTGAATTGCAAGGGTTGGGTTTAGGAACAAGGTATTGAAATGGAGCCATGGAGACATTGGTTTATAGCAGTTCGGGCTTTTGAAATCTGTGCCACCAAGGATCATTTTTTTGGGACTTAGTCCACTACTTCTTCTAGCTAAGGGTTGAAGCTCAAGGTCGCCAGCCCTTCGCATTACGAGTGTGCCCAGAGAGCCCGCCCGACTCCCGCTTGAACATACCTTTCCCGAGCCGAATTAAGGAATATGGGGTTCTCTGGCTGACGATATCCGACGAAGACCGCACCCCAACGAGGTTTAGCTGTGCAGGTGTTCAGCATTCTGTGATCCCTCCTTCGTCCGACACCATGTCGAAAGCTGACTGGCTGCAGCATGCGCAGAACTGTCTGGTTTCTGAGAGGCCATGCTGACTCTAAACCCTGAACTCTGAAAAACCCTAAACACCTAAGCCATAAAAGCCCTACCTGCCCTGGAGCCCTCGAGCTCCACGCCTTGAGCTCTAAAACCCAAAGCCTACATCTGTGTTGGCAAATCCTGTGCAAGTCCGCCAACCTGATCCTTCTACTGTGGCCCGTCATGCAAGGAGTTTTGCTCATCGTTCGTTTGTGATTTTGCGAGTGTCCCGAAGCCCCAAAACCAGGACTGAAGCTGTTTATGGCAGCACACATATAAGCTTGACGCATCCGCCCGCCATCCCGGCAATTGCACCTTATCTGGCCTTTCCAGAGTGCTACGCAGCACCCTAAACCCCTAAACTCTCATCGCTGATGCCCTAGACCTTGCTTTACAACCTGCAGATGACGCCAGCCTGCTGAGAAACTGCAGACTGGTGTCCTCAGGCCCAAACCACTCCGAAATTCCGCAAGAAGCCTGGAATCCTGAGTTCTGGAGAGAAAGCCCTGCCAAGCAACAAGCCAAAGGCACCCCCCCCCCCCCCCCCCCCAAAGGCGCCAAGATGCGGCCTGGCCCTCTCTGGACCAATCACGCACAAACTGGCGTAGAGTCGAGCGCACCTGCAAGGACTAGGTCTTCTTCTGCGGTTTCATTATGACGTTGGGGAATAGGATTGAGGGCATGAGCGGTTTCTGGAAGTTTTCAAGAGGGCTTTTATGAAAGTGTTGTTTGAAGGTGCTATACGGCATTTTTGCTGATGTTACAACAGTTGCTAATGGGCATGTACATTAAGTATCATCTTTTCGTAGTGTTGCTAATCTCGACAAACTTCGTAAGCAACACACCGAAGAGGAAGATCCGAAAAACCATATTAACAGAATAGATGGGATCTTTGAGTGAGGGGGCCCATGGGGCATGTACAGCACCCCCAAGGATTCCATATTCTCACGAAAGTGGTGGGCCCCCTAAACCCAAAGTGCCCTAAAGGTTCTCGTAGCAGCCCGAGTACCCCAAGGATCGGGCTGTATGTGGGTTTACAAGGGTTGTGTAAGGAAGATGTTATGCGGTTTTGCAAGGCATCAACAGGATTTGGTACGGGTTTCTATGGTTTCAGAAGGGGGACAGGGCGAAGGCCTTCGACTTGCGCAGCATTTGGGAATTTAGGGTTTAGCACAATTGCTCCCGCAAGAACCGCGTTTCCTGCTGCCTGGATCAGCCGCCTGGCTTGATCTTGTGGGAGTCGAGGACAGAAATTGAACATGAGCTGGACTTGAAATTAAACCTAGAGCATCATGTCTACATACCCTGAAGCCGTAAATGAAATTGCTGTACCTGCAAGCTCAAGGGACTGGGGCTGAAAGTAGAACGACGGTTCGGATAACCTCACGGTACATGCACTCGGAGTCCTCTCTCATGCAACCCAGCCCTAAACTCCTAAGTCCTGAACTCCCGAGGCGCTGGAAGCTCTGATCACAGGGGGTTATGGTATATACAACCCCACTTATAGCAGAATCGGGATTCTCCGACCACAGCACCTTCGATGAGTTCCTGCTGGCCACCCGATGACCCTCGGGTACCTCGTAGCGAACGGAGTTTTTACGGACTGCAGAAGCCCTTCAAGCACGGAACGTCCCCAACAGCTCCGGAAGCCCAAACTATTCAGCGATCCGGAATGAGACCCACAGAACCCTCTGTATTTTGCAAGCTATTTACCTCAGAGCACTCGGCGACTCGAAGGCCAAATGCTTGAAACCACATTATGAAGTCATCTTTTTGTTGTCTTGGGACATACACTGAATAAGTCTCCCAGACCTCTGTGGTGTCCCTTAAGGGGATGTTCCTCACATAAAGAGGGCATTCAGGCCATCCGGCCGGAAGCTTCAAAACCCCCGAATGAAGGGACTGCCCGCTAAGCTCAGGCATCCTCAAGAAGAAACTCAGGCCCGGTTCAGGCATTAACGATATTATAGTATCGCGGTCTTGAGACTTATTAATTAGAACAAGGGCTCCTTGGAAAGCCTCCCCGAAGCCTTAGCCCCACCTACTAAAATCCTGAAATCAGAAACCCCCGGGAACCCGACGGAATGATCGAGAAACACAGAAACATGCCCAACAGCGAAAGCCGGAAATCCGACGCCACACAAACACTCCCAACATCCGAAACCCAAATCGTCGGATAGAAAACCCTCAGACTCTCTACAGAGTTTAGGGGTTAGGGACCTTACATAGAAAACTCCCAAGCTCTCAGGGTTGTAGTTTGAGGCGTTGGGAGTTCAGGGCTTAGGACTTTGGATCTCGCAGCCCGAAACTCAAATTCACGAAGTGCCAAAACGACAACCAAAAGCAAATCGAAACCCAAACAACCCCAACCCCGGTTACCAAAACCACTGGGAACCCCAAACCCTAAACGCAGCCTCCAAACCCGAGATCCAAGACAACCACAATGCCCTAAACAGGAATCCAAAGAGGCCGAAGCCTAATGCAGGCGCAGGAACAACTAGATTAGGGGCACAATATAGTAGTATCATCAAAAAAAACCCAAAATGAGAGTATCGATAAGCAGTTAGGTTTCTGTAGGAAGGATTCGGAAGGGAGACCCTGCCTGGGTCACGAGCTGCCACGCCTGCCGGCCTAGATCTGCCCCGCAAACCTGGGACTGAACAACATGAGGCCCGAAGAACTGACACACACACACACACATCTCTGTGTTTGTATATACACATACACATACATGCACGCGCACACACACATATACATATACATATACATATACATATACATATACATATACATATATATATATATACACATACATTGTATATATATATATAGATACATGCGCACGCACACACACAGACAGACTTACTTAATGACACAGACACGCGAATCTTGTGGTTCTCTGCGCAACTACTGTTTGCTGTGAAGGAAACCCGAGCCTGTTTCGAGACACTTGAAGTGCTTGCGTCGGGGCTCTGGAGAGACTCTGTTGACAGGATTCGAGCACCTTAAGTATCCAGAGCCGCAGGTAGGGCGGCGGATAGTAGCGAAGGGTTTGTCCATCAGCAGTAACTCGTAGGTTTTGGGGCTGACTTGCCTCCTGCAATGCTACCTCTGATTCTCTAGGTGGGGCAGCGAGTGGGACAAGAGAAGCACCACCAAGAGCATGACGACAACCAAAACCACGACAACGACGACCACGACCACGACACCAGGACGAGCACGACCAGGACACCACGAGGATCGCTCACAGGGTGCGCCGCACAGTTCTGAGAACTACTTGCTTCCAGTTACGCACGTGGCCCGAGGTGGCAGCAACTCCTACCAACAGCAGCAGGATCCCAAGACCACACGACTACCAGAATACGGGCAGGTGTCGTCTGGATTAGGAAGCATCCGCAGGAAGTTCAGGTTGGTCTGCCTGACAGCGGAAGGCTTTTGCTGTCAAGGCTTCCACTCTATGCGGTGCTTGTAGGACCTGTGCATGGGCTTTTTTGCCACATACTCTCGGACAACGTGCTTGGGGTTCAGGTTTCACCTTTGCCGCTTTTTTGAAAAAGACTGAGATTCGACGCCCGCCAATTTTCAGTGTGCACATGCAACGTTCATCGCAGTATAGGTTAAGGGATTCTATTTTGGACTGTTGGCTTTGAGATTTTGGCCGTTGGGCTTGGTTTGTCATTTGTGGCTTGGGATTTTGGGCACTGGATGGGTGAGGCCTTTGATGAACCTTGGGCGCGGTCTTGATCTTATCTCTCTCTCTCTCTCTCTCTCTCTCTCTCTCTCTCACTCTCATTTCTTGTGAACCTTTCAAGCATGGACTCTATCCGCAGTGCTTCGAAGCGCTAGAGCCACATGCTAAACCCACACGGCAGGCCAAGTTGCACACGCTTCTGGATCTCATTGTACCACCTCGTGCTCTCGTTGTCATGATTACTATCAGCAAACGCTGGCGGCAGCACCATCGTCTCCACTACTGTATGTTATGCGGATGAGCTAAAGGAGAAATCGTAACTAGCTTGCAAATAGCATTGTATGTGGGGATAACCTAAGTTCAAGAGTCTTCGAAACCAAATGACGAACAACCCCTCATTCACCTGCCCTAAACCCTAAACTCTAAACCCTAGACCCTAAAACCCTAAACTCTAAAACTCTAAACCCTAAACTCAAAAACCCTAAACTCTAAAGTCTAAACCCTAAACCCTGTCCCATGATTCTCAAAACTGTGGGTCTCTCTGTTGTTGGGCTTCTACCACAGTTGGCTGCTTGGGCTTTTGCAGGAGGTCGCCGAGACTCATAATATGGGGCCATTAATCATTACGGCTTAGGTTTAGGGTTATTTAGAGTATGAATCTGGGATATTACGCTACTTCAGGAAGAGATGTGCAGGCTCCGGCAAGCTGTGGTGAGAAACAGCCCGCTTGAGGCACCTACCTAAAGAATGGCATTACTAAGTCTCCAGGTCGGTTTACAAATGCCCGTGCTTTCGTTCAAGATCCTTGGCGTTACGATCCTTGTTCTAGTCATGGTCAAGGAGAGCCGGGGGGGGAGAGAGCGGAACCTTTAATCAGGGTATACATCCATGGTTTTCGGGCTTCGGGGTTTCAAGTATTTCGCGAGGCGTAGAACCCTTGTAGAACCCTCATGGCACGCCTCTATAGAGCCCTTGAAGTATGGCGTTGGTGCTTGTTGGGCCGACTGTGCTCTCTCTGAAACATTGGGGCCCCAATGGGTCAAGACAGGGCTTGGGTTTGAAATCCTGGCTTTACTGGGGAATCAAAAAACCGTCAGAAAAAAGGAGCAGGTACAATTACCAATATTATCGCTTTGGGTTCTGTAGCATAGGTATACTAGAACGTGCCACAAAAACAGTGTGGCTGCACCGCAAAGCCCTCATCAACAAACACATAAGAACCAATGTTTTCCCGTTTCACAGCCTTCCTGAACCCTGAACCCTACACCCTGAATTGATGTACTGTCTTGTTTGGGGATAAGCCATGGTGGCCGATGCCAAAAGCAGCCAGCGAACTACGTCTGAGAGTCTAAGTAGCCGGCTGGGTGAAGTTTGCTTCATGCACTAATCCATAGTTCTACGGGTTTCTGGTTTAGGGTTCACGGGCTTGGGGTTTGACTATGGAGTTTGGATGGCTTTAGGTACCGCACCCAGGGCCCCGAACCCAGAAGGGCCCCCGAGGAGTCTCGATCCTTTGAAAGGTCTTAGGTTTAGGGTTTAAGGTTTAGAAAGGTCTTAGGTTTAGGATTTTTAAGGTTTTTAGAACTTACCTTTTCAGGTTAAGGCAGGCTTGGTCCTAGCACCGTAGTTCCTGCCGAGGCACGCCAACGGATCGATCTTCCACATGGCCATGTCAGCCTTGTCTAAGCTTTGAACGGTCTCCTCGGGCAAATGAAGCTGTAGTCAGGGGCTTTTGATATACCAGAATTCCATATCGTACTTGTCCTAATTGCTCTTCTAAGTATTCAGGGTCCATGTTGAGGTGCCCTGCCTCTAACAAGTAAGGTGAAGGGTGAAAAGGCCTTAAGGCTTATGGGTTTCGGGTCTTTTGATCTTGGAGTTTGGCATGGGATTCCCTGGATCTTGGAGTTTGGATTTCTCAAGCTTATGGGAACCCTCCCACCCTTTGTGATGTTTTCCCAAGCTTCGAAGCGCAGCCTGAGACTTTCTCTCGATCTCGCCAACATCTCATTTCACAAAGCTCCCGAAACCCTTAATCCCCCAGCAGGCCCCGAAACCGAATTCCTCCAAAAACGGATGACAACTGCAGCCGACCGAACCGTGCTCGGCTTGGGCTGACTTATGTGGAAGTGCAGTTTTGCACATCAGGGTGTTGAGAATATGTTTAACACCCTTGCAAGCTCCGTAAACCGAACGCCCCCAACAGAACCAACCCTTAAAGAACCAGACCAGAGAGCGCCTATGAATCTCTACGAAAGCCTTCAAGCCCCTTACGGCAAAACCTTAGGCTTTTGTTCATGTGTATGAGTCGTGGCGTGAGGTGGGAATCCAGATATCTTCCCAGACTTACAGTTGGTGGGTGTGGTGAGTTGCGGGTGCTCTGTAATGTAGGGGCCTCAATGACTGAGCGCAGATGTTTGGGTTTGTTTACAGTGCAACTGCATACATGACCCTTTCGGAAACAGGGCAAACGCATCACTGGGTGATTTGGGTGTAGGCTCTACCGATATTCTGCTTCAGGCTTCCATTTGTAGTAGTTTTTGCCGGGTGGCACACTAGACGCAGGGATTCAATTTGAGTTAGGAGCTGATGTAATTTGGGGTTCTCGACTGCACAGTCGCAGAAGGCAGGCGCGAATGCAGGCAACACGCCCGACTAGGCTTAGTTTCGATTTTTACAGTTGAGCGTTCTGAAGACCATGGGAGTTAGGGGGGCCGGTGATTAGGGTGTAAGCTCTGTTGGATGCCGCCTCGGCTTCAGGCTTTTAGCGTCTTTCATTCGGCTGTGTCTTTCAGCAAAGCTTGGACGCTGCAGTTTCGCAGCGGAGCAGAATCCCAACGCCTGAACCGGCTTCTTTGAACTCAGACTCTGCTGATCAGCTGNNCCCCCCCCCCCCCCCCAAAACAAAACTTTCCGAACACAGAACCTCAAAACTCCGGTCACGTCTCCTGCATTCGGCCAAGGTCGTAGTAGGCGTCTGTGCCATACTCCATAAACGAATAACCTTGGGTGGGCTTAGAGTGGTTAGAGTTTAAGGGCACTACAGCATGGGGATCTTGGGGGACAGCGGCCATCTGGCTCCAGCTGTTCGGCTCTGCGTATGGCACTCCTGGAAAGTCAAGCCCAAGAGGCAAACTTCCAAGAAGTGCGCCTTCTCTTCCTCAGCTTCTCTGGCACATCGCTCGACACATTCGCTCAGTGTCTAGAAACGCATCTCATTCTTCTATCTCTTCTGTGCCGGCAGACGAGCTCCTGCTTCGATCGCAGGCCTCTTTCTGTTCTGCCGTAGATGCTCTGCTGATTTGCGGCTGCGTCTCTGCATCGGGCCCTGTGCCAGCGTCCACGCGGCTTTGGCCTTCGTCGCTGTCGTCGCTCTCATCGTCGTCCGGGATTTGCCCTGAGGCATAGCCGCCGCCGGTCTTTGGCTTCGCCGGCATGGCGTCGGACGCGGAGCAAGAGCTGAAACGGCCGTGGGCAGCAGGTGCTCAGCAACTACTGAAAGACAAGCATCTTAAGCTCTATATGCCGGCTTTATGTATACCGACCCTACCATAAAGCCCTTAGAGCCGCATAGTAAAACCGAACGCCCCAGACAGGAAACAAGCCTGAGACTGCACCATCTCCCGGCAAATCATAGTGCTGGTGGAACATGTTGCGTCTCCGCTTGAAGTCAACTCTGTGGGTTATGAAAAAACGAACAGCATCCAGGTTTAAAGGAAGCCCAAAGCCCCCGCTACTCTTGCCGATGCAGAGAGCCACACTCAGGTCCCAGAGTAGCCTGCGGGCACGTTATTTTTTGTCTTCTTTTTGGGGCCTTAGGGTCCAGGAGTCTTGGGTTTTCGGGATCAATATTCAGAGTTCAGGGTTCAGAAATCGGGGGGTTTGAGGGAGTACATGGCGCGCAGCGGAATTTTGGACTGTCGACGTTCGAGATTCAATTCTTGCAGCCCTCGGCTTTCCACTTCGATGGGCTTCTTGAGCTCTTTTCATTGAGCTTCCAACTTCATGAGCTCTATATTGGGGGGGACAAGTACCTCAGCCGAATGCGTACAATATAGGGGCCTTAACAAGTAGAACAGCTGTACTGAGGAACCAGAAAGTTCAGCATCCGTAATTCTTCCAGCTGCTACAGCAGGAAAGGAATTCAACACGAGAGGTGATGGCTGCTTACAATCAGGGGCTCCTTCTCTTGGAGAATATGGATCCTGCTATGTAGCCTGCTATGTCTACGGCCCCCCTGATTTTCTGAACTTCCCAAGTCTTAAGATGGGATGCTCGGACGGCAACTCTCCGCCCAAGCATTCACGGGATCCAACAACGTGCAGGTTTTGTCAATACATACAAACAGGAAGATTCGTGCAAATACTTGGGCCTTAAGTGTAGGATGGCGCTGACTATTCCCGTAAACACACAGTGCCTAGACGCTGCGGAAAGTCCCGATGCAGAGTGCTGACTGGCTCTCCGATACAGTATGCTTAAGTCGATGAAACCCTGACCCCTTGTTTTTATAACCCCAGGACACCCCGACCCTCAGATTCGACATCGCAAAACCCAAGCACCAAAGCACCTTGAAAACCTGCGTCGGGGAACCCTTCCGAAGCCAAAATCCAGGAAAGGTCTCCCTTTTTGCCACTGGACTCAAGTCTAGCCCTCTATCCTGTTGACCGAGGGAACCAACAAAACGCCTTCCCCCCTTGAACACAAAAAGAAAGGGGGCAAAGAAGGGCGCCTCTCTGATCTGCAAAGCTCCGTCCAGCGCTTGCTGCGCGGCTGCCGGATCTCGTCGGCCACGGTGGACGTTCCCCAAGCTGGCCGCTTCGGGGTTCATTTCAAGCGAAACTATGCTTTCAGGGGTTTTAGCGGTTTTTGTGAAGATCTTCTGAGTTTAGGCTGGCAACGAACAAAAACAAGCAGGTTTGGGACTGTGAGGCTTAGAGTACTTTGAACGAGAGTTTGGCTTTTGACGATCTATGGCCACGGAATTTAGGGTTTTGGGTCCTCAGGATTTAAAACAATTTAGGGGTTAAGAACCAGGGTTGTCGGGTTGAGGGGCCTAGGTGAAGGGTTGGAGGAGCTACATAAATTTGCTTCAGGTTTCCCGGGTTCGTGCGTCTGGCAACCAGAAAGACACCCCTCATGCCAAAATAGTTGAAACCTTCACCCTCCATCTGTATGGAAGGGGTCCTGATCACAAGCGCAGAAGAAAACAAAAGGGCTGCCCCCTTCACCCGACCCCTAGATTACTCGGCTCCTCACTGTGACGACAAACAAATTGAAAAAGCCCCCACATGCTCACTTACCTGGAGGTTTTAACCCGGAACCCCGGGAGAATCTATGCAGTCCCTAGAAAGAATGCAAGCTAATTCGGACATCATTGCGAACAAGCAGCAGCTGGAAGAGCACACGAATAGCAAAAGCAATCATCCAGAACAGCGCAATTCGACAGCAGTGTTTTTGAATGGGTAATACAACCAGCTTGTCTATCGGGACTGACAGTGGGGGAGCTTCGGACATCCTTCTCATTTTACTAGTACTAGTGCAATACCCAACGGAAAAGCAACAACTGTACTAGCTCTGAAGAGCCCTTTGTAGACTTACTTACATCCCATAATCCCTATCTCTAAATCTTCGGTATTGGAGAAGTTTTCGCATCTCTGAAAATTCAAAAACCCCGCGCTCCTATGCAGTGTGGCGGCAATGTCCCGGGTCGCCGATCCTAGTGCTTACCTTTGGTTAGTAGGGAATGGAGGAATGGGAACTATTATAAGTACCATTACTACCATTCTTCCATTCCCTACTAACCAAAGGTAGGAGTCTGGAGTCTGGGATCTGGTCTAAGACAAAGGCTCTGTAGGGGTTCACGAGAAGGCTTTGAAGGGTGTCAGAAGACATGAGACAGTTTGATGCGGACTTTTTGGCTTTTGCGGCGGCTTCATAGGGATGTTAAGGGTGCTTTGTCTTTCCGGGGGTTCTTCTTAACTGGATCTAACCGAGAAACAACAGCGGGGAGATCTGCAGGTAGCAAACAACAAACTTATCCTGTCATGGTAACTTCAATTAATTTCACGGAACCCGATGAAAACCATCGCAAAACTCCCACAAGCCCTGAGAAGCAAACCCCCTGAAACCAGCACAACTTCAGTTGTTTCCTTGATCCGGGCCTGCCTGGTGTCAAGCCGCGGGTGCTTCTCTAAATTAGTGTCCCTGCAAGCAAGGACCCTTGACATAAACCCCGCAGTATATGGCGGGACGTTCCTCGGGCCTCTCCCATTCAGACTCTAAACACAAGCTCTAAACCAAAACACCCAAAACCCAAGTAGGCACTTAAAATTGGTCTGAGACTGGCCTGTGTCATTTTGCGACCTTTCCCAAACCTCCAAAGCTCTGCAGAGACTCTCGGCCGCCTCGAGCAATGCAACTTTACAGATTGTGGGCTTGAGGGCTTGGACTCTCGCAAGGGTTTAGGGTTTAGGATTTTGTGCTTAAGAATGTTGGGACTTCAGGTTGTGGGGGAGGGTTCAGGACTGCTTTGGTTCCAGCATCGCAAACAGTTTTAGCGTGGAGGATGCTGCAATCAGGGCTTCAACCGGGCTTTGGCGAATACTATATCTCACCTCTTCGGCATTAGAGAACGATCTTCAGCTGGCAGCACAGCATAGGGTCCGCCGTTACTTCTGTCAGTGAGCCATGCACCCCAGACATGCAAGACAAGGCAAGCAGCTGCGATTTTAACCCGTGGCGCTGCGTACTACAGAGTCGGTACCGGCATTTTCGTGAGCATTGCTGCTCTGATATCTTAGTGAAACGGTGCGTTTGATTGGTTGACAGTGCCATAGCTATACCTGGATACTGACTGTGCCTATAGTCCAGATTTAAGTTCTATTCCATCATCATTTCCGTAGTGATCAACGCCGCGGCAGTGCTTGTAGTAGTAGTAGTAGTAGTAGTCGTCGTCGTCGTAGCAGCAGCAGCAGCAGCAGCAGAAGTCGCGGTAGTAATAGTAGTAGTAGTAGTAGTAGTAGTAGTAGGTGGTGGTGGTGGTGGTAGTAGTAGTAGTAGTGGTAGTGGTAGTGGTAGTGGTAGTGGTAGTGGTAGCAGTAGCAGTAGCAGTAGTGGTAGTCGTCGTCGTCGTATCAATGATATCAGCGCTATCAGTAGTAGTAATCCTCGCCGTAGTAGTAGTAGTAGTAGTAGCAGCACAGTGTGCCGGGTAAGTGGAACCATCAAGCCGGGCAAGATGACGGTAATCTTGGTGTGCAAGTGGTATCCGAGTCTTGGCAATTGTTATTGAAGCGAAATGGTGCAAGTGGCGAAAGATGACGGTGATCCTCCCCCCCCCCACCAAGATGACGACTATGACGCAATGAAATAGCGGTTCTCGATTCCCGGCACAATGCAGTAGTAGCAGCAGTCAGTCGCATTTAGGGTGCACAGTAGAAAATAGTAGTATTTGTGGTTGTGCTAGTGCTACAAATTCCTGGGAGAGCTCTGATATCATCATATTCAATGTCTCAACCTCGAGCAATCGTCACTCATACAGTCCTCTGGGTTCTGGAGCTACGAGAATGAAGTGTGTGTGATCCGATTATGAGAGGGGTGAGGCTTTCGAGTTTCGGCCCTCAGAAAGCAAACCGTGGGCGCATGAAGCCGGTACCTGAAGACATCAATCGGGCCTTCATTGGCAACGCCTCGGAGTTTCAACAAAAGCATCACGACTCGCTGATTGGTGGCATCTCAACAATGTCAGTCAAGGGGTTCATCTTCTATAGACTCTCTACCCCAAATTGACTTGACTAGATGCGTGGCCTGCACTACTGTATTTGTAATACATTGGAGCTGTGGTGGCTAGGAGCATTTCTATCTCCACTACTTTGAAGCAGCTTGTCCGGAAGGGCACATGTATCAAAACCCTCGCCGCCAATCTTTCTTTGGCCTTCGCCAGTATGCAGACATTCGCCTTCATCCTCGGCAGCTTTCGTGCTTCGGCCGGCTGCCCAAGGTTCTGTGGCAGCATGTCAGACTGGTCAAGTGAGGCAGGCTTCTTCGACGAGGCCGGGTAATGGCTTTGACGCTCCCTGAACTCAGATTCAGTGATGCTCCGCATCGAAAGGCTGCATTTCAGCGTTCACTCAAAAGATGTTTAGCTTAGAGAAGAAATCACTCGTGGATAGGGGGTGCAAGGAGGAGGAACAGCATTGCCTTCCAGCTTCTTGACGGACTGCTGGGTTCTTGCGGCTCGTGTTTGAGTTCACGTTGCTTCTGCATGGAAGCTTCGACGCTCGTTCTTGTCTAGGATCTTAACTGAAACTATGGAAGCGAAGCGCTTTCCATAGTAACTCAAATTTAGCACCCCAAATCCAGTAGATGTTTGCCGGGAGCTTCTTCTGATTGCTCGTTGCCTTTCCCATGCCTTGCTTGAGGAAGCCTGCATCCCAGAATCCCGGGAGGATCTAGAAAGGCAGGATCTGCGAAGTAGAAGCATTGGGGACCCTCTACTAGCAAAGTGTACTTCACAGGAAACCTCCCGAGTCTGGGCAGTGGTGAGACTCTGTGCAAGAGATCTGGCATCCCTAGTCGCCATGCAGTTCTACATTGCTTCTATATGGTTGATAGGGTTCCATAAGGGTTCCATAGGACTTGCTAAGACCTTTACAAGAGGGGTGTATAAGGTACTTTGCAATACTACTGAAGCCAGCAAGCAGTAAAACCTTAATACTTCTCAACAACATCCTAAAGTCTGCGCCCCTAAGATGTATAGATGGCTAAACTTGCGAATCAGGACAGACGCAGCAGTAGTTGGGCGCAGCCATCCAGCACACGAGCTTTATTCGCCCCACCACACCTTATAGAGATCTCGACCACGCCCTGTGACATGCTAATACCCTTGGCCTGTAAGCAGATTTGCACTTCTTACGTCTCGTCTGCAAGATTCTGCACGGCCTTTGATTGTCGCTGACAGGTTGGTGTGCAAGATTGTGCAAGTATACTTCAACTGCGCAACTCTAACAAACCCTGTACCTTAAACATCCAGCCTCAAGCCATGTGCGGAAGCTTTTCTTGGGAACGCCGACCGGCTCCCGGACTTGGGAGAGAATCTTCTGTGTCGTATGCCATAGCTGCAATGCAAAGGCCATAAGCATGACTTGTTATGGAACCAGCACCATGCTATGACCGCCACTGTTCTTCTAAAACTCCAAAGGTGCTACTCACCAACAAGACCATCCTTTGGATCACTACTATCATCATTAGCGTCGTCTGCATCAGCAGGCGAATCCGACCCGAAAGCCAAGTGCAAAAGACTCCCGAAATCTCCGTAGGTTCAAATCGGGTCTGTTTAACTGTTCGCGCACCGGCCCGAACCGAGTGTAACTCCGACAAAATCCCACACCTCAACACCCAATTAAGTCATAAATCCTCAACCACAAAAACTAAGCGTTTCATGTGTTCTCAGAGACTCCACATGACACCTGACATACTCCTTCAAGAACTCCTAAACCACGCAAGCCTAGTTCAACGACCCGGAGCCCCATGTTCCATGTAGTTTCTGGAGATACTGAAATTTGTGGCGAGGCGCTACTTAATCAGATTCCTACACTGTTCCGTGCATGCCGGCTGTGAACTCAGATCGCAATTGCCTGACCCTCGCCCATTAGCGAGGCGTACTGGCGAAATGTTCACTCCGAATGTTGACAAAATGTGCTAATGGTACTTCTGTAAGGTTTAGGGGCTTAGAGTAGTTTCTGACGACTTGTGATGAGAGGCTTTGGGGTTTATGGTGCTTTCTTAAAGGCTGATGTTTCAGGGTACGACAGTTTTCTTTCCAAACGGGTGCGGAGGCTGCAGGTAGGCATTAGCCAGCGCAGGTTCGCGCAGACTTTAAATACATGATCACACTTCCAGTCTGAAGCGGAAAAAAGTAGGATCTTAGGATCTTAGGGTCTTGGGGGTTTCGGGGAATCAAAATACAAGATTCCATACAAAGGCCTTGGGGTTTGCAGGGTTTGACTGTCGAGTGTTGCCTGTTAGAAGAAGCATTCCCGCAGCTTCGGATTCTGAAATCAGCACACGAGTAGTCTACTCGGTAACCTTCCTTCGCCAATCGGTGCATTCCTTCTTCTCGCGACAGTCCGCGAGCGAGCCATCTATCGATTGATGCTGCTTCCTCTATACAAGCATGCGTTTTCCGTTCCTGAACAGTCCAGCCAGGCACTTCGGTGCAAGGTTCGAATGGCACACTTTCCTTGTGTCAAACTGTTGCCAATACTCTGCGGCACTTTCGCACAGGTATTCAAAAACAACACCAAACATTCTTGAAACACATATTAATATGTGGGTCTATGAGCCTTGCATGCTGTGCTTCTCGAGAAAGACCTGTTGGCATGGGTACGGTTCTTTCGAGGTTTATACCACGCACTCCGATTCCAAATTCCCAACTTTGGACACTGAAGCTTCTCAGATAGACGTTGTGTGGGTTCCGAATTTCACTTTTCCCAGTCCTTTTTCAGAGCTCGAAGTGAACGAGCTTAATTGTTAGCGTGCCCGACGCAGTGCGGAGCTTTTCAACCGTCTCAACAGCGGAGAGTGTCCTCAGCGGTACATCTGCGATTTCGGGGGCCGGGAACTGCTTCAATTCGGCCCAGGGTTTCTGCAAAAGGCGTAGATCAGACCCTTAGGGCTTGAGGATTCTGGGCTTTAAGCTTTTAGAGGTCTTGATTCTGAAGGGCGTCTAAACTTCGTAGGGTTCCTTCAGGGTTCCACAGCAACCGCTCTCACGAAACTCGGGATCGGGCTGTCTGGCTTTAGAGCTTTATGTAAGGTGCCTTAATTGAAAGACGATGTTGGACTATATTATGCTATACCTATATGAGGAGCCCTAGAAGGTAGGAACTTAGTAAGCACGTTTCAAGCTTCCATGTTAGGGTGCGCAAACCAATGAACAACTCCTTCAAGCTTTGTAGTGAGCATGGAACCCAAGCGAACCTGGACCCCACACATCAACCACCAACCTAATCTAAATGCTAAGGCCCGATATCAGAACTGTTGCGGAAACCCTCATAATGGCCTTTATAGAACCCTTCAGGGGCAAGAACCTTTGGCCGAAAATCGGAACGAGACAGCCGTCCGAGCCCTCTCTCCAAAATAATGGGGCTTAATACTTCGTACAGGGTTCCTGCTTCGAGGACTAGAAAAGCTTTCGGGGTACATGATAGATGAGGCGTGGTAGTGGCGATTGCTCAGGCTGCTCGTGTGTGAAACCCCAACAAGCCAAGAGACTAAGACTCTCTTCAGTTGAGCTATAATTACCTCTAGCTATAATGACTATAGTTATAACTAGACTTAAAACAGAACTTTACGAGACTCTTATTGCCTATTGCTGTCACTATTTTTGCCACTATTGCCCCAGATATGCAAATAGACGAGGCCAGCGTCTGACCGTTCACGGAGATGACGCGATCGTGGACAGCCACTTTCTGATGGGGATGGTCCTGCAGACATAGCAGACCAACAGGGCCCAAAATCTTTGAGCCCTTGTGTGGGGCTCGGTTGAATTGTCTATTGCACGGCTTCCTGATGACTGCTGCGGCCTTGAGGGAGATCAGAAGGGAATTTCAGAGAAGAAGCGATCGACGTATTCACCCTAAATAGCAGGATCTCGGTGATAACGGTCTCCAATGAGTGATCCCTAAGTTTAGGACAGTCAGGGATACCCTATGCATACTAAGGGCCCTACTGTCTATAATCAGTTTCTGGGGCTGGGGTGTGAGGTTTGGGGATTTGATCCATCAATCATTTTCTGACGCTCCCATGTTAATGGCTGTCTGACTAATCTTGCCAAACCACAAGCCCGTTGCCGCTGCCTAAGAACAGATTCACCCAGACCATACTGCCCTCGGACCGCAATACCCGCGACAGGAGCAGCATTACATCAGATATAGGGTTTTAGAGGGTTTGCACTTTTGCGCAATTCTAAGGATATGTGTCCCCTACATAAGAGGAATGTGGCTCTGGGTGGAAGCTGGCTTTAGGATCAGTAGTCCTTGTTCCACTGGTCGATGAGGCAGCGTTCAGTCGCACTCTCCTGGCGGGGCTGAAGTTACGGTTGGAGTTAGCTGCTGAGTCCCCCTCATACCACCATGGACTAATGGAGGTTTCCGAAAAAAGGGCACCCTAATATAGTACCCTAAATAGTAGGATCCTTATTATAAGGACCCCAAAAGAAGGTACCCTAATTTTCGGAAAGTCCCATGTAGGTAACCATCTTGCCGGACCCTTACCCAGGCTTCTACCCATGGACCCGGCTCGGTGGTAGGTGTTTCTGGCAGAGCCGGTTCTTGTACCAAATCGCCGTTCTTGCAATTTGACGAGCCCGAAACTCTATGCCCTGAAAGCTTTGGGGTTTGGGGATCCTTATGCAGAGCCCTGGCAAACTTGCGAAGTTTACAAACAAAGAAGCACCTCAAAGTCTCGACTGCAAAACTCGAAGTGCGACCGCCCTCGACCATGAATTCCGAGCGGTCTTCGGCTGTAAGCCCCTTTGTGCTTTTGTTTTGGGGGCTTTGGGGTCCCCGATGGCCCCTGGACACGAACCACGCCCCCGATCCTCGATGCTGGCGATCCAGGGTTTGGAATGGCCACCCTTCCGGTAGTTCAAGTTCATGCCCAGGCGCCTGGGCTGCTGGGTTAAGCTTAAGGTTTTAGGGGTGAACGGTTTGGTGTCATGATGATACTTTATGCTGTGTGCCATTCATCATCAGAATCACCACCACCAGCACCGCCAGCACCACCAGCACCACCGCCAGCACCACCACCAGCACCACCACCAGCACCACCTGCACCACCGTCCTGTCGTAGCATGCAGTGGCGGCCATGGACGCAGCTGCACTATTGACGATGATGACAGCAGCAACAACAACGACTCCGCGAAAAGATGTGTATTCGTGGCTCTTTAGCTGTGGCTGGTTTTGCAGCGACCATTATGGTTGCTTGCATGCTTAATCTTGTTTTTTTGGCTCGTACCATGTCATGCACTTGTATATGTTCACGTGGTGGAGCATTGCTTTGCGCTGCATGACTCGGAATGCATACTGCGCGTTGCACCAGGACTTGTAACAGTTTCTCCAACAAGCAGTGCTATCCCCAAGGTCGAACGGCGTCTATGACCATCAGCAAGACAGGTACAAGAATAACATACCCAGCATTGAGAGACATGGCAGCGTAGGAAAGGAACAACGACGCCTCGTTCATGATTACCCTTATGGTAGCGCTACCAAGCCCTACTTAATGGGGCCCGCTCACGACTGGGGTTCTTTGGATTGCATGGGACTTTATCAGCTTGTGGGTGTGTATGATGGGGTTACATGGTTTCAGCTGGGCTCTTCGCAAGGATGTTAAGCATGGTGTGGGACAACGTTATCATATGGTATACACGCATCGTAAAGTAGCACTTCAAAGACGATCACGGAAGCGCCGTACCAGACTCGCCAATGAGCAGCAGAAGAAAACTGCATACTCGGAGGCTGAGGGGACTTACTAAGTAGGTGGAAAGTAGCAAGCAGTGTCATATAAAGGGAAACCCTCTAAAAGCATCACCGCCCTACTCAAGTCTCAAGTGGACGAAGAAATGCGGCCGTCGCAGGATTGTGTCAAGTGGCGCGGTCCGCTCGACCGTCACCGTTCGCCTCGTGTGGGGCAGGATCTCGATCGTTTCCCGGTTGGAAAACCCGGGTTTGGGGATCGGGGTTGCAAGCTTGCCTGAAGACCCAAACCCTGGAACTTCGGTTGGCTTTGGTGTTTTGGGATTTAGCTTGGAGGGCTTATGCCCTCAGCCTCGTACAACGATCTCAGGAACTTGCGGATGAGGCTTTCGCGGGATCTTGCAGGCTTCCACAAGGGGGTGTAGGGGTTTGCGCAAAGGGTCTTGGCAAGGTTTAAAGTTTCCAATTCGGGTTCTCCGAAACTTCAAACTCCTACTCAAAACCCCCTCACTAAGCCCCGGCTCTACAGAATCTGGGCGGGCAGTGTCAAACCACTCTGTAAGACTCCGACTTGATGGTTGTTCCGAAATCACGGGGTCCACTGTTGGCGGGTCGGCTTAGCAAGGATTCCATACACAGAAGAGGGCTTGTATGTCGTCCCTTACTTTCTGCTCCACAGCAATCGTCGGACGCAGATCCTGAGAACTACCGACGCCCGAATCCCAAAGGTTCTAATTGCCGAAACTGTAAAGACCCAAACCCCAACCGGGATCGAAGTTTGGAGCTTAATATAAGGTCCGATTACTTGAATAGGGCTTCGAGGTATGATTTACAAGATGAATTACGGAACCCCCAAGGAACACTCTTTGCAATTGATTGAGGTCCCTAGCTTAGAGACATACATCAAGGTTTCAGGGTCAAGCCCGCAACCCTGAAACCCCGATGTCTCCGTAGTGAGGCCGAGGCCTGTGATTCTCCGAAACCCTGATGTCTCGAAAGCTTATAAAATCCGTTTTTGCAGCAGGGGCGAGCCTGAACGCACGGAACGGCTCGTGATCTTTATTTGCGCACTAGTCACCGTAAATCCCTAAACCCTGAACGCCAAGCCCCTTAAACCCCAAACACTGAAACCGGAACTCCTAAATCAATTACTGACCCTTATAGAAGTCCTAATCAATTATTGACCCTTTTAGAAATCCTAACTCAAGTATTGACCCTTACAGAGCCCTTGTAGCTCTCACATGTCTGCCGAGGCATCTGCTCCTGTGGCCGCTGGAAGGTGATCGGCACACCAGACGCGAGCTGAAATCAGAGGAGGGTCACAGGGCCTAAGCTTTCTTTCGACACGCCTTTCCACCTGCAGAGGTTGTCCCCATAATTAAAGGAAGACACCTACATTTATAGCAAGAGGGTTGGAGATTTAGACTCCGGGGTTGTGGGTTCAGGCTTTATCATCCATCCGGCACAGGTTGCGTAGGATCATGTTCTTCTTGTGGATGTTCGATCGTCGGTCAAAGTGGGAGTGCAACTAATCGTAGTGCAGGGGCCACGGCAGTTTCGATCCGGATGCTACCAACCGTAGTAGTTGACATCGCTGTACTTGCAGCAAGCAATGGTGGTAGAACTGCTAGCTACCAGAGAAAGCTGACAGTTCTGATGCGACCAGGATCAATACCGATGCCCCCAGTTGAAACAACAGCAACGTTGCACATGCAGTAATATGAGTGTTGACGTCGCATGCCGTCTCAGAGATGCCTTGCTGGGTGTGGACCTGTTAACCAGGCGTTCCAACGAACATCGTGAGGATGATCAGGAACGAGCAAGAACAACTACATAAAATCGTCTTCTCTATTTGGCTGCCATGGTGTTACTGCACTCACGTGGTTCTCCCAAAGCACAAACAAGGTGCTGTTCGGAGAGTGTACGGGCTTCGGGATAGGGGTTTGTCTTCGGGAGGCTTCACATTCGAAGAGTGGGTCTTGCAAATGCTGGAGTTTCAGGCTTGGGCTGACAGCTCAGCACCTGAGCCCTGAGTGGCTGTCCGAACGGCCTTGTCAGTAAGGAGCTTGACAACCTCTTTCGTTCCTGCAGGGGCTCACATACCAGCAAAGCCTAAGTCAAACGCTCTGTTGTAACTGTCTGGCTTGTGAGAGTGGGCTTAACATTACAATTGGCACTCAGCCTCTTGTGTCACAGTTCATGTCTCCACTTCCTGATGAGTTTTTGACAGGTAACTGTTTGACTCACCCAAGCCGTCTTTGAAAAGTTGCAGGCTGCACTGCATGTCATTAGTCCTGGCTTGTGGAGTGGGTTTCCGAAACAGGATGTCCCTTAACATGGCGACTACCTTTTTCTCTCATGTTGCGCACGATGGATGCATGGGCACTGAAGCTATTCGTCTGAACTTTGTCACCCCCCCCGAATTTAGAAGCATGTTGAGGCCATGCATTCAGATGAGCTGGGCGAAGTGACATGCATCACTGCAAACAACTTCATTTGTTCATGCACACCAGTCCTGGGCATTGCACACCATCGACTTTTACGATTCGGTCGTACATGCCGATCTGTCTGCTCGGAGGATTGTTCTCCTCAGAGCTTTGGATTTCGGGCTCAGGGTTTAGGGCATCCAGATAAGCTTAGGGTTGCAGAGCAGGAGCTAAGGGCATATTTAGGACCATCGTCTTTTAGGAGTGGTTGTTCGCGTCCTCTGGTCCCAAGCACGCTAAGCCCTTTACCTAGTGGCTGAGGGCTGAGGGTTTGATTCACGATTCAGCAAAGTACCTGTTGCTGATGGCCAGAACTCTGCACTACGATGCATATCCCAAGACACAAGAGTCATTCAATATTCCTCATCGTGGATACTGGCGGAGTTTGTCCATTAGTAGCAGAACCCAGGCAGGGCCCAGGCCATGTGCAAGACCTGCTAAACCCCTTTCTTCGAGGGAGGCCTTCACTGCAGATGCCATCAGCTTTGCAACCCTCAACCTTGAGGGTTACTGTCCTGTAAGAGGAAATGCGTGGAGACTGACCTGAGCCTTTGAACCTTAAACCTAAGCATCGCAGCCCACGACCTTGAACCGTCTACTCGATGTAAAGCTGATCGAACTGCTGTGTGTAGATAGGGCCGGCCACTAAAGTACCTGAATGAGAGGATCAGCGTAGACACTCTCCCGCCTGCGCAAAGATCGAGAAGAAGCCCTAAAGAATGAACACTAAACGGGAGACGCAATTAAGACCTCCGAAGCTGCTCTCAAAACGTGGCCTAGTCTTGGCTTGTTGGAATGTGGAGGTGCGACAGGTGGAACCAAAGCTCCACTACATGGAATTTTGAAAGGCGCGTCTGGCGCTCAAACTCCGGAAAGTCTGCTTTACACCCGAAGGGCTACCTGTTACAACCTTAAACCTGAACTTCAAAACTCTCAGCCCTCAGAACCTGTTGCACCGTCAAGACCAGGGGGCATTCCAGTCGGAGACGACGCCTGCAAGCAAGACTAGGGGGCTACACTAGGGTTTTGAGTATGGCGTTGAGGGGGGTTCGGCGTGCAGCCTCAATAATTTGAATAGGGTTTGGGCGTCTGGCATACTATACGTATAAGAAGGAACCTGAAGGAATAGCATTGGTAGTTGCAGCTTCGTTGATATAATAATCACCAATGTATGTCACAAGGATTCTTCAATAAGATTTATGATATGTATTGCGTAGCTGCAAGGAATTGGGCTCTGTGGGTAACTACAGGCCGTGCAAAGTCGGCAAACTGATGAGCTTTGTAATCGACGCCTTGCTTTGACATTAAGGCAGAGACGAGCACGGCCGTTCGATCCGACAAAACCGAAGAGAGAGTAAGAGAAACATCGAGTGCGACCAAGAGATCGAACAAGAGAGGGGCATGAGGGAGAGGAAGGTAGAGAGGGAATGGCGGTGGAGGGGAAGCGAGCGGGAGAGCGACCGATTACTCCTTCATCTACCTGTCTGTGCATTGAACGTTTGCCGATTCAACGCGACATGAGCTCAGCAGCTGCCCCGCACGTCGCCAATGATGGTGAGCTCCGTATCAGCGGTGTCCAGCGCCTGCAAAGGGCAACTCCGGGGTACCGGGCATACATGTCTGCTCGCGTCCGCATGTCTGTTGCTATGCTGGCGACGGGTTGCACACATGGTAGAGTCTGGTAGAGTCAGGAGGCGAACTGGATCTCAGGGTCTAGGAAACCAGGGTTCAACACCTCGCCTCTCGCTTGGCGAGTGTCCCAAAGTTTATATTCTCTGCAAATCTCGGGGGTGAAGGCCTCCGCAGGAAACCCCTTCCAAGCTTCGGGCTAAGGGTTTTCAAAACTTCTCAGATATCTGGCCAGGCGCCGCCTCCTAGGCACAGAAGCTGTCTCCCCAGCTCATGTGGCTCCCATCTCATTGCAATAGGCTTTGCTGATCCCTTGTTCCCGAACCCTCAGCCCTTTGCAGCCACACCTCCATCAAGTTGTCCAGAGGACATTTCAACTTCCTTAGCTGTCCCGGGATGGATGCTCCCAAGTCTAAAGGCCAGTCCCTTAGTTGAATCTCTGCAGGCCTTCCTATAAGAGCAAAGCACGAAAGCAGCACTAAACCCATTGCATGACATCTTGAGTGCTTCTTACCTAAAAAGTGCGTCACTAGTGGACGTACACTGGATGTTTTCTGATCTGTGATGTACTTTGAGATGTCAGAACATGCTAGTACTTTACACCAGCATGTGGACACATGGCAGTCATGCACATGTCTGTACGAACACTATGTACCTGTGTATGCTGCAGTATCCGATCATGTACGGTCAGAGGTTGCAACAAACTTTCGCGATTACTGCCATGATTACAGAAATATATGCGACTTGAGTCTCCGAGTATCGGAGACAGCTCAGCCAAAGTATCTGCAAGCCGGTAAAGTAAACTCAGAGAGCTTCGAGGCGCTCATACGTCTACGACCACTGCATGCCATGCGAGAATGCTGCACTAAGAGAGTGCACTCGTGAAGAAACTGCACATGAACATATCTTCATTAGCTTAATTTCAAGGTTTCAAGGTCTTTCTGTTCCTTTTGCTGGTGATATGTATTTGCTGCTGTCCTATGGAACGGGGGGCTGCCAACGGAAAACTTACGTGGCCTTCGAGCCACCTAAACCCGCTAGAGCCCAAAAACAGATCTGATATACGCCAGGCATCACATCATAGACGTAGTTACCAGGATGGGACTCAATGACATCCATGGGAGAGACCTGCAGCCATGAACAGCGGGGTCAATGGAGTAAACATTGTTCCATCCTGAAATAGGCTGTTGCGGCACATTCTGCATCTAGAGAAGCAAAGTTCCACGTGTGAATCGTGGAATGTCATGGAAAACTTGTGCCTTGTGTTCGACCTGAAAACAAGAACCACTGGCAGTCCGTTTGCTGGCGCAGAGGGCAGACTGTTCCGACGCCTTTTCCAAGTGCAGAACCTGTAAAGACCAAACCAGTCTACAAATCGCAAATCTGAAGAAACCCTAAACCCTAAACCCGAACTCAAACTTGAGGTCCAGTGTTCGGGCCTAGGGTGTTGGGCCGACACACAAACCTGAACCTTTCAGGGTCTAGGGCCTGGGGTCCAAAGCACTCAGCTCAAGCTATCTGCATTTCCAACACCTGACCACAAACACGGTTGTGCTGCAAGGAAAACGAAGAAGGCCCAGTCCCTTGGTCCTACTAGGAACTTCTTACAAGAACCCTTTATGAAAAGGCCCTACAGCCCCAAAATTTAAACAACAACCCTAAACCTCAAATCCCTGAAATTTGGCAGAAGGGGACCCTCTTTTCGTCGATGCCCATTTCAAGGGCAGCTTCGTTTTCCGCACAACCTTAGTACTGCTGGGCTCGAGCTCATGGTTTTTGAGGTAGAATAAGAAACCCAAGCAATCAACAGGATTGTTATACTCTTCTCAGAGGTAGCAACAAGTTCTTAATACCTGAAACAGGATTGAAGATGTAAGGATCAAAGGGTTGCGACTTCGGGAGGTTCAGTGCTGTGGACTTTACCTTAGGATTTGGAGGCTTGTCTGGCCATAAGAATTGTGATAGGGTTTGGGGGGCAGTTATATTAAGGAAGCCTATGAAGGACTATTGCTGATTTTTAGGTCGCTTTACGAAAACTTCGGGGCTTCTGATGTATTCGAGGCTTTGCTACTTGAGACTTTCTTTTGGATTTAGGGGTTGAGGCGTAGCGCTTAGGAAGTTTAGGGTTTAACGCGCTTTGAGGGGGATCGGACTCGCCGGGGTGAGCGCCAAACCTGAACCAAAACCTTGTGCCAGAACATGGGACGCTCGTGGCGGTGGCCCAAAGCTTGTGGCGCTCAGACCAAGACCCGATATCGTGGTATGACAATGGCAACACATGCTATCTTCAGCTGTAAGGTGAGAACTCGTAGAATATGCCGGAAAATGTAGCATCCTCTACTGCAGATGAAAATTCATGGAAGAGGCCACAAGCAATTAGCATCTTGAAGAGTACACTGAGAACTGACAGAAGATACAAGAAAGTACGAGAACCAGTGTTGTGAGCAATAGGACATAGCACCGTGACCAGAATGAACATCAACGGGACACTGTTCCTGCTTCCTGCTTCTGGAGAAATCTGCAGCCTGGCAGCAATCACACAACATGGCTGCGCCTGCGCAGGGCCTTAAGCGACGGAGATGGGGCAGTGGGCCAGCTGTTGCGCGAGCCCGATCTTGCGGCCAAGCCCTGCAGCCTGTGTCCATGTCCAAAAGCGGTAAGCCCGTCCCAAAGTCAAGCATAACAACAGAGTCCCTGGCCACAAGCGACTGACACGTATCTTGATCAGATGAAGTACCTGGTAAATATCATCAAAGTAACATCCACGAAAACACTCACCAATCTTCCAGAGGATGCCCATGACAGTCACCAAAATCCCTCTTTATGTAGCGCTCACCCTTATCCAAAAAACCCTTATGGAGTGTCGTGCTTGACGCCTAAACTACTTGTTCGTTTCCCAGAGGAGATGAAGATTCCCTTTCGGACTATTACATGCGGATTAGGCGCGGATTATATTAGCCAGTAGTCTACTGCTAGGCTATGCTTGAACTGTGGGTATACCGGGAGGTTGCATGGATTTAGCAGACACGACTAGAAGCAGGCTTTCAGTCAGTAGGATAACACCACTTAGGGTGCCCGTAACCATGCTGGTATCCTGCTTACTAAGTTTCTTGATCTTGGGGGCCGCACAACAACCACAACCCGTCAAAAGGCCCACAAAAAAACTGAAATTCCTACTTGCAAGTTTCCGTACTAATTTAAGTACACCAGGTGCAGAACCTCGGGAAACCCTATGACATCCCATGATCTCTATCGAGTCCAGGGGAGAAAACTGACGGTCTGTACATTGCAAAAATTTCGTGGCGGTTCACAAGTTACAAAGGCCGTCGTTGCTAGCGTTTTGTTAAACAATACTGGAGGAACGCTATGGTGCCGGGAAGCATGTTCTTTCGAGATCGGTTTGCCCTGAATGTACGCCGAGTCCGCAGACAGCCCAGGCGCACCATCCCTAGCTAACCTAACAGAGGAGTTTTACCCTTAAAGTATGAACGGAAAGATCTAAAACCCCTGAACCCCTTCTAACCCGTATGGTAACCCTCATGGAAACGTCCCTCTTACCAAAAATGGGAGCCTCTGTTTTGGAGGTTCCTTATTATATCTATAGTATGATATACCCCAAACCCCATTCTGATTCTTAAGGCGCCTACATTAGGTCGGAAAGCGGGTTCTAGTATCTTTATAATCGGGAACCCTAAGGAATAGTATGGGTACTTTATTTGGGCTTCTAGAGTGAACACTCCCATGCTGTTCATCAGGCTTCGGGTCGCGAGCTCCGGAGCTTCGACAAAGAAGCGCGTCTTGCTGTGGCTGAAGGTCTGAAGTCTTGAAAACCTTAATGTAGGGGCCTTAATAATTAGAATATGGCTTTGGGGTACAGTATACTATAACTATAATAAGGAACCCCCAAGAATAGTATAGGTAACTATTCAGCCTCCTATACTAAACCTTAGTCAGAGCCCTTATGATAACGTCTATCATAGGCTTTACCGGTACAATCACCCCGTAGTAACTCTTGTCCCACTTGGTCTTCTTCTTTGCTTCGTTGGACTTCGGGGGGCGCATATAGAAATCTCAAAAAACGAGTGTAAAATCCCAAGAGTTGAGGGGCCAAGAAGGGCCCTGAGGGTTTGTGGTACAAGCTCATTGCACTCGGACTCCGTCTCATGAGGTCTTGATGGTGTAAAACATAAGCGGGTACCCGAGCTTCCCCTGCAGGTCTAAAGAGACTAAGTGAGGAAACATCGAACAGGTCCAGTCAACAAAGGGTTTCAGCACTCACAAAGGGTTTAGGGGTTCCGGGGGTCGGGTTGGACTGTCAGACTTAACGTATGTCTCCATGTCCTGCGAGCGACCACCGCAAGAGACCAAGTCAAATCAAACCAGGATTTAGTCCTAGGATAGATATCCCCACTCTACGGTGCGATGGCTAGTTGTATTTTTCCTGGCTATTTCCTATATGTGACAAATACATAAAGGAAATGACTGAAGCCTCGTCGACGTGGCCGCAGGAGGCCAAAGCGTTGCCCAAGTTGTGCCTAAGGGTTCGGAGGCCAATCCCCGCTAACGAGGGAATTTCTCTGCGTGGGGTTCTGCTTTGCGCTGAGTTACAAGGCAGGGTGACCTAGAGAGCCCAAGACAATGTTGGACTCTATCTGCAAACATTTGGCATCTCTTGCTGTCTCTCGCTCTCTCTGCCGTGCCATTCTCGAATCAATGGAATATGCATTCGCTCTGTAGGAAAGCTTTACCGGTATAGCAGGCATTTCTGTCGCCTGCCAAACCTGGCTCAGTGTCCACTACAGCCCCTAAAGAATTTCACAACTCACCGACAACACATCAATGCGTAAAAGCAGCAAAGTCGTGGCCAAGGTGGGGTCATCCTCCCCGAGCTCTGCACGCTGTATCTGCAGCGTGTGGATGGATCGATTATTACTGTTTACGTTTTTTGTCGCAACAACTAAGAGTTACGGGTGAATGCAAACAGGATTGTGGGGCATGAAGGTTTGAGACTTCAAGTTGCCTGTCCAATCCCCATGCTCAGCTGCAAACTCCTGCAATCATAAGGCACCCTTTGGCGTTGAACCCAGACTCTGCTGATCCCATCAAAAGGCACCCTGAAGCCCAAACCGAACGTTATTCGCGGCCACCAGGCTTTTGGGCTCTTACGGCTCGGGGGATTTCTGGGCTTCGCACCAGAGGTGAAGCAGAGTCTAAGCTTTTGCTTAGGGCTTCGGGTTGTCAGGCCCAGTCTGACCGAGCGATTTCAACTCAATACATGTGTATACAGGTATAGAGGTATGCAGACGGATGTCTCATATATCTATGTCTCTCTTTCGCCAGGGCTACGGTGTGGGGGATCTCTCCCTCTCTGTCTCTCTCGTCTGTTGTTGTATGGCAGAATCTTATACCAACAAGTCTCTCTTTTCAATTGAAACTCAGCCCCCAACACGCGCCCCGTTTACATTTCTATACACGGGCACACACAGAGACTTTTGCACACCCTGTTACCAGCAGCGTTGGGATTCTGGAAGGTGGACTCTGCAGACTCTGCAGGCTATATCCCACACACATGAAAGACATGTCTAAACGCTTTTAGGACTCCAAACTAGCAAACCCGACAAAACTCTGAAGCGAAAGCTGTAACACTCCCATCTTGATGCTCCTCGAAAAGGGTCTCTGAACCCCAAACCCCAAAACCCGCTGGCCCTAAAACCCCCTCTAAACTCTAAACCCTCCGAGGAAGTTTACAGAGTACAGTTGTAAGTTATACGTTACATAAACGAACGAATTCTTACTTTTCGTTAGAAGTCAAGTATCCAGTATAGTTACAACGGGTCTCTGAACCTGTTCTCCTGTGAACTCCCGCGGCGCGGTCCTCAAGGGCCCGTCGCAAGCAAGTCACCGCATCCGCGTGCTCTTTGAGCCTTTGGCCGGGGTTTCTCTCAGGTCTTTTGCGGCTTACAGCGGATGTTTTAAGAATCTATCAAGTTAGAAGAGTTGTATACGAGCTGCATATGCCTTTAGCATGGTTTCGTGCGGGTCGTGCAAGGGTTCCTAAATTGCAAGCTTGCCATGCTATGGGAAGCTCTGTCATACTCTACATCCTCTTGTGGTCATGGTCACTTGGCTAATTAGATGGACTTCCTTAAGAAATATCAGTTGGGGAGGACACCAGGTATTGTGTTGCAGTCAGGCTTGTGGTCCGCGGACTTAGAAACTTCTGCCCAGATCACCCAAAACGTACGTTCGCACGCAAGTGGGAACGTGTTCCCGGAACGAGTTGAGACAACATGGAAGTGAAAAGGAGATTGCTTCCTGCAGAACATGAATGCAGGAACATATGGACGTTGCTCAACAAGAACTTATTGCATGCTACAGGCTTCCTTCCAAGTGGGTCCTCGCAGCTTGTTCCTGAAGACTGCTCTGTGTTCTGGCAAGCGCTCTCGACGAAGCAGGCGGGAGGTTACGTGTCAAGACGACAGCATAAAGGTCGTTCTTGCAAGCAATAGCCTCAGGAACATTAGCCAGCTCTGTAACACTGCAATCCTTTCTAAAGGTTTCGACTCTCACTCTCGCACAAGGAAGGCAAGGCGCCACATAGTTCCGTCACGCGGGATGATCTCCCGGGCTATGGGTTTAGGGCATACAGGTTGAGGCTTGGGTTTGAAAGTGAAACGCTTAGGGTTTAGGGGGCCCTAGCTGCTGGTCTGTGCATTGGGCCCAGGCTTAGCCAAGACCGAGCCCAAATTGGCCAATGTCGTCGCCGTTGCGATATGCCTTGGGCTGGCTGGGCTGCAGCCTCGTCCGAAACTTCTTATTGAATACCTCTTGGTTCTGGTTTCTTCCCCTGAAGTCCGAAGCTCGATTCTGGGTCTTGTGCCCAGTTCTGGGACATGAGAGCCTAAGCGCCGCTTCCCCCTTGAGGTCTAGCAAACAGAGGGGTCAAAAAAAAGAGGCCCGCCCAATGTGGTTTCTTAGACTTAGGGGCTGAGTACCCAAGCCCAAAGAAGGTTAACCTTTTCAATTATGGTAGGATTAATATAAACCCCAAAGGGCTAAAGGTCACCTACTCATTTTCTAACTAAATGAAGGTTCCTTGGCAACAACACAATCACGGGTGGACTCGGCCATCAAGCGAAAGCCTTTTAGTCACTGCCATGCAGAGCACGTAAGGTCCGCGCTCAGTACCCAAACTCTGCCTCTCCAGGGACAGGGCTCTTCGATAGAAGCCAGCAGCCTGAACGCAGGAAAAGATGCCTTTGCTTCTGGAGGTTGGCAGTTACCTGTCGATCCTATACTCGACGGGCATCGGCAGTAGATGATGCCGATTGCACTGTACTCATGATACGACAGAAGTCACACTATCGTCAGCCCGTACCCGCAGCATGACGCCGACTAGATGACTGCCGTACCTGCAGGTGTGGTTGCGAAATTGGTGTTGAAGCATGACTCTCTTCTTCACTTAACACTAGCAGTGAGAAGTTCTCCAACATATCCTGTGCGACAGTGATTTACGCACGCTAAATTGCTAACCCGATTGCCAGCA